TAAAGTTTATTGTCTGTCTATAGTAACAAAAAGATAGGTGCCCTTCTGTATAAGAAGGTACCTTTCTGGAGAATTCATCTCCTGCATGTAAGGAACAAAAGAATATTGCAATTTTCTTCTTGCACTGACTGTTTCTTAACTTGAGCCACACTAGCCAGGAGTGACTCAAAAACAAAACAAAAATAAGTGAAGAAAGTTAAGAAAAATATAAGGAGAGAATCTGAGTAGGCCTAAAGAAGTATAAAAATGTGTTTTATCCTGAAAGGGGAATATTGCTGGAGCGATAGCACAGCGGGTAGGGCGTTTGCCTTGCACGTGTCGGACCTGGATTTGATTCCTCCGCCCCTCTCGAAGGCCTGGCAAGCTACTGAGAGTATCTCGCCCGCCCAGCAGAGCCTGGCAAGCTCCCCGTGGCATATTCTATATGCCAAAAACAGTAACAAAAAGCCTCACAACGGAGATGCTACTGGTACTTGCTTGAGCAAATTGATGAACAACGGGAGGACAATGCTACAGTGCTGTGTTAGGAAATATTAAATTAGAGTTACTGCTTAAGTGTCTACATTAGTAAGTAATGTACTGTAATAAAAGCCTCTGGATGTAGAGGAAAAACTCCTTATCAGATATATAATACTTGATATAAATAAAACATTAATTTCTTATTGTGAATGTATAAAATCCTGTAGCAGATTAGGAGTGAGCATCCTTTCTTCATCTAGTAGATGGCAACCATCACTTCCATAAGTGGATGCCGTACTCAATGTCAAGTGCTGAAGAGTATGTCTGGCTTTTTAAAGAAGCTACTTTAATGCTTTCTTGTAAGACTGGATTTAAGGCTATGAATTCCCTAAGTTCCCTGTCCCTGAAGCTCTGTATTATTTCTTAAATCTGAATGATAATCTAGTTGGATAGATTATTTTTGGCAATATGTTCAGTTCATTGAGTTTTTTTTACTATATCCCTTCATTCTTTCCTGGATGCTGAGAGTCTCATTTGATCTGTTGTAAATCATGAGCTTTATGTGTAAGTTCCTTTTTGATCTTGACTGATTTCAGTATTATTTGTGTCTCTATCTTTGGATTTTGTCATTTTGAGTATAGTATGTCTTGAAGTTTCAAATTTGAATCCGTTTTTGCGGGGATCCTTAAGGCCTTCTGGATTTTGGTGCCTGTGTACCTCAACTTTGGATTTCCTTATCTATGATTTCCTTACCTGGTGTTTCTTCATTCAGTCTGCCCTGTTCTGGGATTCTGATAATTCATGTTTTTCCTCTTGAACTCATCCCATAGTACTTGTATGTTGTTCTTTTTTATTTTTTTTTAGATTTTTATTAGTGAAATACCATGAGATACAGTTGTAGACTTACAAATTTTTGAGCTTAGGCTTCATTTATACAATGATCGAATACCCATCCCTCCACCAGTGCCCACTCTCCACCACCACCGATCCCATCATCCTTCCCACCCCCTGCTGCCCCATCCTATCCTGCCTCTGTGGCAGGGCACTCCCCTTTGTTCTCTCTCTCCTTTTGGAGTTGTTCATTTCTTTTCAGACTTTTTTCCAACCATTTATTGTTTTCAAGTGGTTTCCTCCATCTCATCTTGGACCACCTCAGTATTTTCTCAGCTCTTGTTATTCTGCAGCTTAGAGCTTCTTTTGAGTTTTTTGTATCACCCACTATGCTCTTCATTTCTATTTGTAGATTTCTCATTTTGGCTCCCATACTTCCCTGTGCTTTTCTGACTGCCATGCCATCCTGATAGTTGTGTTTTAAAGTCATTGGGTCGTTACAGAGCTGATTGGTGCTTGTTGAGTCTTTTGTGTCATTGGTTTTGCTCCTTGAGCTTTGTGGGCTTCTAAATGTCTTTCTCATTGGGTTTGCTGTGTTCCTCTAATTGAGGGTGAATTTTTGTATTTACCCACTCTGGGTCTCTCTAATGAATTAGACTGGGAATTGCTTTTTTTACTTTAATGCTGTTTTTACCCAGTGATAGAAGGTATAACTGTGAGCAATGTGAAATTTGATGAGATAGATGCTTTGTGCTTCAGGAGCTGTGGAGCTGGTGGCGAAATCAAGTTCTTTGTTCCATTTATAGATGATTAATTTCATCAACTTTATACACATGTACATATAGACACATGTCATATATAGTACTTATTTCAAAATCACTGTATCACTGTCATCCTGTTGTTCATCTGTTTCCTCGAGCAGGCACCAGTAACATCTCCTTTGTCCTAGCCCTGAGATTTTAGAAAGTGCCACATTCGAGGCTCTTTCAGGGTCAAGAGAATGAGACCCATCATTGTTACTGGTTTTTGGCATATTGAATATGCCACAGGGAGTTTGCAGACTCTGCCGTGTGAGCAGGATACTTTTGGTAGCCTGCCAGATATTCCAGAGTCAGAATTAGATAATAAGATGTCGTGCAGAATGCAGCCGTGGACTTCCAGGAGCTGGGTTTTGTAGTCTCTGGGTCTTGGCCGTTGATGGGATTACACGTTTCAAAATATGAAATGTAAAACATATTTGGGAGTATTTTGTTTGTTTTTGGTTTTGGGCCACACCCAGTGGTGATGCTCAGGCTTACTCCTGACTCCGTTCAGGGCTCACTCCTGGTCAGACTTGGGGCACCATATGGAATACCGGGGATTGAATCCTTGTCTGCCATATGCAAGGCAAGCACCACTGCACTCTTGCTAGTGACCCCTAAATCAGATAATTCAGTTAATACTTCCAACTATTCTCATCTAACCATAATATGTTTTAAAATGTTATAAATATTAGAATTTGGTGCTGGAGCAATAGTACAGTGAGGCAGGGCATTTGCCTTGCACGCAGCCGATCTGGGTTGGATCCCTGGCATTCTTTTTTGGTCCCTGAGCAATGCCAGGAGTAATTCCTGAGTGCAGAGCCAGGATTTTGGTGAACATTTGGTAAACATTTCTGGGTGTGACGCAAAAAAAAAAATAGAATTTAATTGTGCCTTCTAGTATAGTTGTATGTAATCATTAATAAACTATGTTGGATAACATTGTTCTGCTCTTGCTCCTCTCTCAGGGAACTTAGGTTTATTGAGTTGCACCCATCATAGTGCTCCTGAGGCACACCCAATTCTACCAGACACTCCTAATCCTATGTTGCTTTTTTTCTTTATGTCCTTTGTATGGTATAGCAATGTCCTTTTTGTATAGATATAGGAAGACAGTTGATGCTATGCTTTTATAACATGGGTGTTCATTGACCTTGAATAATATTTTACTCCTGGGCAGCCATCATGTTACTTGACTTAAGCCTCAGTTGCCCTTACTTTCTAACACCTACAAAAGGAGGGTCCTGGCGAGGGATTTGGATGGACCCAGGGCAAGCTGTAAGCTACCCTGACATCGAAAAGGGACAGGCTAAGTGCCATAAGAAGTATCATAAGAGCACGGTCATAAAACAAACTCGGTCATGACCCAAAAAAAGAAATAACTGAATAAGGACGCTGCTGGTGTTAGGAAGGACTAACGTAGCCTGAGAACTGTAGTCTGGCATACATAGCGAGATATCCCCAGGAAGAGACCACCCTTTCAGCTTAATATACCTCTTATTTTGTCTCTACAAAATGACTAGAAAAACTAGTAAGAATAAATTTAATATGATTGTTTAAATGGATTACTAATTAAGAAAAGAAGAAAGCAATACGCCCTTAGATGGAATTCCACCCTTGGGCGAATCTCCTAGTTAGATGAGATCTTGTCCTTGAGTATGTCCTAGAACTCTCCCTAAAGGAAGGGCTTTACATCTGTTCATTGTTTATGATCATGTTTAACCACACCTATGTGTAATTGCTACCCCCAACCCTTGATGATTTCTCTATAACTGAGACTTGAATAAACAGAGACTGATTTCCAACCAGCCTTGTAGCCTCCGTTTCCTCTTTCGTGTGCCTGTCTCATTGCCAGCCGAGGTGTGGAGGCAGCTTTTGGCCACCGACTGCACGTACCACACACCCACATTTTGAACTCACAAAATTGAAATATAATGGTTGGTGATTTTGTTTTTAGAGGAACATACTGTACATAAAAATATTTTTTATAGGTTTATTTCAGAAGTTTTATTTTCTTTGTGTGTGTGTGTGTGTGTGTGTGTGTGTGTGTGTATAGTTCATATCCTGCAGTACTCATGGGACTACTTGAAGCTCCGTGCTATAATACTAGAATTGAGACCTGGGTTGCCTACATGTAAAACATGTGTCACTTGTATCACTTTTCATCCGTTGATCATCAGTGTGCTCGAGCTGGCGCCAGTAACGTCTCCGTTTGTCCCTGTCATGTGCTAGTGTAGCCCAGTGGCGTCTGCTCACTGCAGGAACATACATAGAGCCTCAAACTGTTTGTTCAGTGTTTTTTTTTTTTTTTTTTGATGAAGAAGTCTGACCATCTCGTAGGTGGGCAGCCTCATGTTCTTTTGATGTTTGTTGGAATCCACTTGGTAATAGCTCTAGTCCAGCGGTCATCTCTAGATCGCATTACGTGTCTGGCCCATCTGATTTTCAACACCTTGACAAATGAGACAGCGTCCCTGATTCTTGATTGTAGACAGAGGTTGGAACTCTGGATTCCTTCTCTCACTTGAGTGAAACATGATATTCCAAGCATAGCTCTTTTGATTCCTCTTTGGGATACCTGAATAGCGTTCTCATCCTGTTTTTGTAGGGCCCAGGACTCTGAGGCGTATGTTAGTGCAACTCAACATGTAAAACATGTACTTTAACTAACTGAACTAGTTCTCTGTCTCCAATATTTTTGTTTTTGTAAATTGGGAACCCTGAGTTTAGATAGTTTAGTTAAGAACCTCCACTTATATTTTCTCACTTACTGTGTAATTAATTTGGGGTTGGATGCAAATCAGGAAGATAAAAACAACAAAGATTATTATAATCTTTGTTTTATAATCATTTGGAACCTTGCAAAAATACATGTTCTCAGTCTCTTTGTTTTTTTCTCCCCCTCCCCAGCTTTGCCTTTTCCAGACTCTGTACTTCTCATGTTCTCTAAAATAGGAATCCAGAAGAAGATTGATCATTACTTGCAGCTCTAAAAACTATGGATCAGGTAACTTGGTGTTTCTTTGTGCCTTTTTCAAATATACTTTTAAAAGATTTTGTGCATCTTTTCATTCCTTGTTAGTGAAAGTTACCTAATTGTCCAGTTGATCGTTGATGTCAAGAGAGGGGTGCGGCAGGGTGATACCATTTCACCGAAACTCTTCAGTGCCACCCTCGAGAACATCATGCGACGACTGGAATGGGAAGGAATGGGAGTGAAGATAGATGGTCGGCAACTACACCACCTCCGCTTTGCTGATGACATTGTTTTAATAACACCAAACATCAGCCAAGCGGCACAAATGCTGGCCGACTTTGACCGTGAGTGTGGAAAGGTAGGACTACAGCTGAATCTTACGAAGACAATGTTTATGAGAAACAACCTCGTTCCTGACGCCCCATTCGCTCTCAATGGAACGACCATCTCCGAATGCAACAGCTATGTGTACCTAGGTCGAGAGGTCAACATGACAAATGACCTGGCACCCGAGCTGCGCAGGAGGAAGAGAGCGGCTTGGAACGCCTTCAAGAACGTCGAAGAAATAGCTAAGAGGATGAAGAACCTCCGGCTCCGGGCACATCTCTTTGATTCCACTGTTCTTCCTGCATTAACATATGCCTCAGAGACCTGGGCCCTACGCAAACAAGATGAGAACGCCATTCAGGTCTCCCAAAGAAGAATAGAAAGAGCTATGCTTGGAATATCACGTTTCACTCAAATGAGAGAACGAATCCGGAGTTCTGACATCCGTCGACGATCAAGGATCAGGGACGCTGTCTCATTTGCCAAGGTGTCAAAAATCAGATGGGCTGGTCACGTAATGAGATTTAAAGACGACCGTTGGACTAGAGCTGTTACTGATTGGATTCCACGGGATGTCAAGAGACCGCGTGGCCGCCCACCTACCAGATGGTCAGACTTCTTCGTCAAGATCATGAACGATCGGTTTGAGGCCCTTCATGTTCCCGGAGCGAACAGATGCCATTGGGCTACACTAGCACGAGACAGGGACAAATGGAGACGTTACTGGCGCCCGCTCGAGCAAATCGACGGCTAACGGGAAGTTAAGTGATTAAGTAATTCATTCCTTGTTAGTGAAAGTTACCTAATTGTCCAGTTTTGTTCATTCTTATAAGTGCTAGTCTCTCCTTTAGTTTAGTTTTATATTGGGCCACACCTGGTGATGCTCCTGCCTCCTGGCTCAGGAATTACTTCTGGTAGTACTTGTGGAACCATATGGGGTGCTGAGGATTCAACCCAGGTTGGCAGTGTGCATAGCAAGCACCCTACCTGCAGTACTATCTTCAGCTCTCCTAAGTATGTTTTTTTCTTATCTAACTTATTTAAAAATAATTTGGGTATCTGATATAACAAAAGAAGATTTCTTTGGTCTTGATTGGATCAATCTCCATAATACCAGACATTATATATTTTGAGTTTTTTCAGAACAAGAACAAAATTAGGGACTAAATACAGAAATATAAGGGTACTTCCTGATCCTAATAATTGACATATTAATACTTGAAACTAATAATTGATATATAATATGGGTCATTTTGAGATTCTGCATTATGTGCTAATCTTGAATGTTTAAGTTTGGATTATCTTTTTCAGTTTTTTGTTGCTTAGGCTAGGCAGGTGGAACATTTATAAGCTATGAATATTAAGAAGAAAAATTCTCACCAAGCTTCAAAAACCTCACCAAAAGTTCAGAATTACAAACTCTTAGAAGTAAGACAAGCTTATAAAAATTTTCATTTAGCTTAAGATGCTTAAATACATGCATAAATTAAATCGGGTATAGTTGTTATATGGAGCTATTTTTCAGTCTATTATATCAAGCGGTAGGGCGTTTGCCTTGCACACAGCCAACATGGCCGACCCGAGTTCGATTCCTCCGTCCCTCTTGGAGAGCCCGGCAAGCTACCGAGAGTATTCGATATGCCAGACACAGTAACAACAAAGTCTCCAATGGAGACGTTACTGGGCCCGCTCGAGCAAATCAATGAACAACGGGAGGGCCTTTATATCAATTATAAGTAACTAGGAAATTACATTACTTGTATTGGTCTCCCAGTTGTCACCATAGAAGTGTAATCGTTTTCCTATCATAATGAACCTAGGGTTTTTTTTTTGTCGTTGTTCTTGTTCATTTTTTTGTTGTTGTTGTTAGCAATTCTTTTTTATTCGAGTTGGTTGGTTGTTTGGTTGGTTTTTGATTTTTTGGCCACACCTGGCAGTATTCAGGACTCATTCTTGGCTTTGTGGCTTAGTGATCACTCCTGAGGACCCCATGGGACCATATGGGGTCATGGGATTGAACCCAGGTACCCCTACCCACTGTACTATCCCCTCAGGCCCCTGAACCTAAGGTTTTAACACTTTAATTTTATGTAAATCTTGGAACCTAAGCAATAACACAGTGGCCATGGTGCTTGCCTTGCACATGGCCGACCTAGGTTTGATCCCCAGCACCACGTAAGGTACCCTGAGCCCTGTCAGGAATAATCCCTGAGCACCAAGAGAGGAGAACTGCTGGTATGGCCCAAAAACCAAAAAGAATTTTTATACAAACCTTATTAAAGATTTTACAAGATACTAGAGAATTTCTCCAATTACTCTTCTTACACCTTAGATAAGAAAAAAACTTTCACATTTATTGAGAATATATGATATACAAAATATGTATCATGCTACATGTTCGTGTTTGCTACTTAGATGGGTGATTACACTCACATAATTCCCACAATGTATAATGAGATGCAGGAAAAAATATGTATAGCAACAGGAATAAAAAGGAGCATATTGTCACAAAAGCATAAATAACTTTAGTGTCTGATCCATATCCAAGTCCTCCCAGCTTATATTTCCATTGACAAAAATTATTTCCACAACTAGTATTATTTATTGTTTCAGACTTCAGTGATGTTCAGGGATGTTGCCATTGACTTCTCTCAGGAAGAGTGGGAGTGCCTGGACTCTGCTCAAAGGGATTTGTATAAAGATGTGATGTTGGAGAACTATAGTAACTTGGTGTCACTAGGTAAGGATCTTTATACCTAGAGGCTTATTCTAAACCACCTTTAAAATGGCTGTTTTCCTTAATTTCAAGTTCATTTGTTTTTTAATTAGGGATTCCCAACAGTGAGGGGTGAGGACATGGGAGCCACTCCTGGCAATGATTTGCCCAGGGATATGTGTCTGATGGTTTTTTATTCAGCTCAGTGCTTGTGCCTGGAAATTATGGGGTTCATCAGGGCCACCCCAGCAATACTAAGAGGTCACCAGTACCATACCTGGAGGTATTTGGGTACTGTCAGTTCTTACCCAGTGGTACTGGGGTTAGGAGGCCTGCATGTGATGCCAGGAATGAAATTCAGGGCCACATATGTTGCTCCCATTGGAGCCATTTTCCTGGGGTCCCTCAAAGTTACTTTTAAATAATTAATTTTATTTAAGTAATTTATCATCCTTAAATTTTATTGTTGGAGGGACAGGAATGATACAGCAGAAAGTGCTTTTGCCTTGCACGTGACTGACCTGGGTTTGATCACCGGCATCCCATATGGTTTCCTGAGCACCGCCAAGGGTAATTCCAGAGTGCAGAGCCAGGAATAACCCCTGAGCATCGCTGGGTGTGACCCAGAAAAGCCCCCCACCCCTAAAAAAATTTTATTACTGAAAGTATTCATTTATTTTCAGAGGACATATTTCAGAGGGATAGATCTGAAATCTGGGATTCTTTCAGTATTATAAAAAACAGGTTATGGGTTACAATTTAGATTTGCAGAAGGAATTTTTTGTTTGTTTATTTTTGGGACCATACCAGGTGATGCTTAGGGGTTATTCCTGGCACTGAAATCAGGAATTACTCCTGGTAGTACTCAGGGGATGATACGGGATTCCGGGAATTGAACCTAGGTCATCTGCATACAAGGCATACACTCTACCCACTGTACTATCGCTTCAGCCTCAGCTAAAGGAATGCTTAGTGTTAAATAGATAAACACATTATGGTTTTTCTAACACTGATTATATGGTGCTAGCGTAGATCATTGTATGTTGCTAACAATTCCAGTCAACACAGTATATTACAACAAAACATTTTCCTATTTTACTTATGGTTTAAAATTACATGTTGAGAACTTTGCATTTTACAATGAATGAATAGCCATCTTTTATTTGAAAATAGCTCAAAGTGTTGATGATTTTCTAGGAAGGTTTATTGCTTTTTCTTGTTATAACAAAACCTTTCTATTTGAGTTGAGGTGACATAGTTACAATAGTGTTTACATTTATGCTTGTGATGCATAAAATTCATGTGCCTTCACCACCACTATGACCTTCCGCTTCCACCTGTCATCCACCTTTTCCTTCTCTTTCTCTCCACACTGTTCCCACACTTGGTGATCTCAGTTCTGTATTCAGATTCTAAGGAGTAGTCATTAGATACTATTCATTCCTTTCCTTTGTTTCTTTATATACTACATATTTCTGTGTTCTTCTAGTATTTGTCCTTCTTCCTTTGGCTAATTTCACTTAACATCACCCATTCTAGCCTCATCCAAATCATAGCATAACCTCATTTTCCTGGGGTTGGGGGTGTCACACACCCACTTGGCTCAGGACTTACTCCTGGCTCTGTACTCAGGAATTACTCCTAGAAGGGCTCAGGTGACCATGTGGGGTTCTTGGGGTTGAACACAAGTTGGCCATGTGCAAGGCAAGTGCCTTACCTGCTGTTCTGTTGCTCCAGCGCATAAGTTTTTTTTTTTACAGTTTTAATACTATTCCATCATGTATAATTACCACAACTTTTCAATACTCTCACCTATCGTTGGACATTTGGGTTGTTCCCATTTCTAGGGTATCATAATTAGCATTGCAGAAAAAATAGGTGTGCATATATTGCTTGGATTAATGTCTGTGTGTTCTAAGGATAGATGCCAAGAATTTGAATTACTGGGAATTCTATTTTGATTTTGGTTTTGGATATCTTTGTGGGT